TTTTACATGGGGATTGAGGATCTGAACTCATAGCCTCACACTTACACATCAAGCATTTTGTCCTATGGGCTTTTCCTCAAGCTTCCAAGCCCTCTGTATAATTTTTATTTTGAGACAAGGTCTCTCTAAGTTGGCTAAGCTGGCCTTGAACTTTCAGTCCTCCTGTCTCAGCCTTCTGAGTAGCTGGGATCACAGGCTGTCCTACCAGGTCTGATTGTCATATATTTGAATAAAACGACACAAAATTGTTTAAAAATTATTTTGACTTGGTAGTTCTTAGTGGAAATATGGGTTCTATCCCAGTATTATTTATTTAGTTTGTACTCATTCAAATTTGTCTATCATTTATTTAAAAAATTATATTTAATTCACATGTTCTTAAAATCAGTACTTGTGTTTGCTTGATGTTGTGTTCAACAAATTAAAGGGAAAACTCAATTTAATTTAGGCCTTCTGGCTTCCTTAAGGTCAACTCTCTGTCTCAGACAAAGAATACCATATTTTGGTCATTTATTCAAATTGGAAGCCTTAAGAAAAATCAAAGTCCTTAGGTTTTCTGTAAATGGGATGTCGAATTTTTTTTTCTAATTCAATAAAAAAAAGTTCAGTTGTCAGCATAAAAGTTAAACCACAGAGTGCAGATATTTAAAACAGCATTGGAATGAGCGTTTTGAGAAATTAATTTGCCCAAATTATGTTGTGTTTTCACAGGCTGTACAGCGATATTAGTATCACGGAGTGTGCATTAAACAGTTCCTGTCAATTATGCTTGCCTATGAATGAATCGGAGGGTTCCTTTTGTTATAAATTACTATTTCCTAAAACGCTTTTGCAGAGAGGCAATGAAACACTTTTAGACTTGGAATGTTTAAAAAGCTGCTCTTGCCAGTACTGATTTTGAGCCAGCTCCAATGTTCACACCTTGTCCTGTCTGGGATGTGAATCACCTTTTGTTCAGCTCAGCCACACCTTCCTCTAGCTACCAAGGAGTCTCCTTGGTCATCAGATACACTTAGTATCAGGTTGCTTGCATTCAAGTCTTCCAATTTAATTAATTGGGCCCAAAACACAAGAGTAGTGATGCCAAAGAAAAACTATGAAGTGTTTCCTATAAGGGAACAGATGACTTATTAAGAAAAGATGAAAACTCAAGCTCCTCATGCTGAGATTCCTGGGGTCTGTGGTAACAATGCATCCTTTATCCTGATATTTTGAAGAAGGGAAAGGAAATGATTACTCATTCAGTTGTCTGTAAAAGCCGTGGTCACGGTGTGTCGAAAATGCTTCATTGAGATAGAAAATGTATTAATTTTGTGGGCAAAAAAAAAAAATGTGCACAGAAAACCCACACCTGCTTTAGAAGCTAAACTGTCCTGAGTGGGTATGTATAGGAGAAAACCATTGTGCCTTTCCATAGACAGGCTCAGTTCTACCTGTGATTTCGCTTACTCACTAAAGGTCTTAGACAGATTCCTATGGCTAAGACGCAACAACATTGTGGTTACTTATCAAGCAGAGTGCTGTCACTCATTTGGCAAGAGTTCTTGGTTTGGCTAGTTCCCTGGCACTGGACCTCTGTGGCACTGGGAAGAAAGAGTCTTTGGAGGAGACCTGTGAGAACAGAAGTATTTGCCTGTAATTCTGCTGATGCCTGTGATGGTTTAGCAAGGCAGAATTTGGCCGGCTATTGCATGGACAACCTTGTTCTGCATCTCCCTTCATTTCTTCCCTCTGTCCTTACCGTCCCACCTGGCTTTTGTTTTCCTACTAGCAACTGGAATGGAAGCACTAGAATTGTTCCGGAAGCCCATAAAAATCTGAGCACAAAGTGTACTCCTTGCTGTTGGAGCTGTCTTGTGGCACAATGAATTCCTTTGCAGATTGATAGACGGTTACTCCAAGCAGCTCAGATCTCCACCATCAGCCTGCTTCTCAAGTCCCACCAGTTAGCTTTCTCAGAACAGGCATCCTCGATTATCCAGCAGCTCCAGAGACGGCTGTTGGTTTTGATCTTGACTTTGTCATGGGCTTTTCTGAACTGAGAGGGGGCCCTCTTGATGGAAAAGAGCTCCCTGGGAGGAAAGCAGAGGCAGGTCATCGCTAAGTGCCTGTTGCAGCCGTATTTGCCATTGAGAGTTGATTTAGAAAACAAGAGATGGATGGAGCAGTGATCAGGGCTGCACAGAGACCGAGGTGGGCTAATCAGCTCAGGCTGATCCTATGTGGCAGCTGGACAGTCAGGGGTGGAGAAAGTCCTAAGCCACGAGGAGCTGGCTCTACCTGTCCGTGAGTCTGTCGGATGCTCTGTTTCTTTGATGGCTCTTCAGCTGCCTCCTTTCATTACTTTGTGTTTAAACACGCACCTGTGTATGTTTGTGCATGTGTATACATGAGTGTGGAGACTAGGAGTCATTGCTAGGTGTCGCTCAATCACCGCCTGCCTTTTTATTTATTTATTTATTTATTTATTTATTTATTTATTTATTTAGTTTTTCGAAACAGGGTCTCTTTGTGTAGCTTTGGAGTCTATCTGGCACTCGCTCTGGAGACCAGGCTGGCCTCGAACTCACAGAGATCCACCTGCCTCTGCCTCCCCAGTACTGGGATTAAAGGCGTGCGCCACCAACGCCCCCCGGCTGCCTGCCTTATTTTTAAAGACAGGGTCTTCCATCGAACCTAGAGTCCCCCCAGTTTGACTAGACTCACTGGCTCTCAAACCCCAGGAATCCTCCTGTCTCTACTGGTCAAGCATGGGGATTATGGGCTTTCACCCACCACACCAAGTTGTTTTATGTCAGGGCTGAGGATTGAACTCAGGTCCTCGTGCTTGGACAGCAAGCACTTTGCTGGCTGAACCAAGTCCCCTGCCCCAGTGTTGCTGTATTTCTGAACCTCCAAAGGCCCCCGCATGATTTTAGCTTTCACCTGGAGATTCTTGATCATTTAGTAAGGAACTTTTGAAAATGGGAAGGACTGCCATGAGATGGGGTTTATGTCCGCAGACAGCCTGACAAGAGCTGTTCTTTTCTGCTTGCTTCTGGGAGTGAGCATAAATCTGCCAGCAGATGGCTCTGTAGCCCACTCCACAGGAATGTCAGCACCAGCACGCTCAAAGCTGGGCCTGAAGCTAAGTGACCTTGCTGTGCAATGCTTGCCTTCCACTAACCCCCGAGTATGTGTGTTTGTGTTCATGCACACACACATAAGTGAGCGTGTGCACTTTTATTTCACAGACTGACCCCCAACATCCTGGTTATCTAGTTTCCTCCCAGAGTCCCCTCTGAATGAATGCTGAGGAATCACAGCATGCTCCCCATTCACTATTTGCAACTGCTGGTATAGAGAAGTCTGGTAATGTGACCCTTTTTCTGAGGTGACTCTTGGGTGCTCTTATGAGAGTAGGAATGTCACTTGTCCCAGGGCTGCCTACTGGTCCCCAGCCAAGCAACAAAGGGCAGTCCAGGCTGTTTAGGGATGCTGGTTTCCTGCCAGTACTGAAAACAATCTTCTGCTTTACTGTTGTTACTGAAACCCTATTTTAGAAGCTTTTTAATTAAGGTGAGTCCAACCTGTTGCCTGAAGGACACATGTGGCTCAGAATAGCTATAAATGTGGCCTAATACGACATTGTAAATTTACTTAAAATATTATGAGACATTTTTGGTGCTTTTAAAACAATTAAATGCACATTTCTCTGAGTGTGAACCTTGTAAACAGTGTGCTGTGGTGTCAAAATTTGAATGTGCCTAAAGCCATTTAGGTGGAGGAACCAACAGGTGAGTGCAGATTAGAAACATGTTCTGGCCTTGCAAGCATGAGGACCTGAGTTTGATTCACAGAGCCCACAGTAAAAAGCCAGATGCAGAGGGGCATGTTTGTAGTTTCAGTGCCGTAGTCAGGTCTGGTACTCACTGGCAAGCCAGGCTAGCCTGCATGGAAAGTTTCAGGCCAGTGAGAAATCCTGTCTCAAAACACAAAGTGGATCTCACCTGAGACATGCAGCAGAGGTTGTCCTCAGACTTCTGCATACACACACACACACACACACACACACACACACACACACACACCTGCACTTATGGGCATGTGCATGTAAGCACACACAAACACATGCACTAAGAGATGTATGGGAAAGAGATATTGAATGTGGTGTATGTTACACTTCTAAGTAGAAGAACATGCTGAAAACAACCCATAACTGAATCTCTAAGATCGCTCAAGAGAAATTAAGAACATATAATTTAATAATACATTTTTTAAAAAATTAAGTTGCTTGGCTAGCTTGGGCATCTAGCCCATCAGGATGGCTCGTCACTGGCTTTTCCTATGTAGTTTGATATGACTCATCAAACCTCCTCATGCAAAACAAAACAAAACAAACAACAACAACAAAAAATCAAAAACAAAACAAAACTTCCTCATGCCAGTCTCCTCGTCTTGCTGCCTCAGAAGACAGATAAGCATGGTTAGTTACTTCGTCATTTGTGACCTTAAACACTGAAGGTGCCTGCCAACAGGGGCTGTTGCTCATCTGTGCCTTGGGTTCAGTTGAGTTGTCTAGCAGTGTTTTTGTCTTTTTTAACAGATTTAGGAAGTTTCCAAGAAGCAGGCTGGCATCCAAGATTAAGAACCAGATAGTGGATAAGTTAGCATCTGAAACAAACAAAATACAAAACAAAACACAAAAGAACACTTAAGAGAGAACAAGAACAAAATCCAACCCAGAGTGATGCACACAGTGCCCTCGCTCACCCCCGCAGGGTTGAGGTTGGGTTACTGGTGTTTCAATCACAAAACACATTCTGATCTTACTTCAAAACAAACATAGCCTTAGTGTGTTTTCTGTAGATTCTCTTCTCTCAATTCACAGGTATGAAAAAAAAAAAAAAAAGTCACCACATCTTGCTTGACAAATGCACACTTTTGATGGTTTTGTGATAAGTTGTGAGCCCTTCCTGTCAGTCTGGCAGTTAAGTCTGACTCTGGTTGCTTCCTCACAGCTCTCAGAGGGCGGCAAGGAGAGGATGGAGCTCCCCCAGAGCAGACAAAACAGCTCCTTTGAGGCACCGACAAAATCTTATTCCTTGACGATCCAAAACACTACCATCTGCAGCTCTGGCACCTACAGGTGTGCCCTGCAGGAGCTTGGAGGGCAGCGAAACTTCAGTGGCACTGTGATTTTGAAAGTGACAGGTGAGCTCACCTTGCTTCCTCTCACAGACTGGGGTGTGCTTTCTGTGGGTCCTGAAGTCTCTCCTCTTCCAGAATCTGACCCTGCAGCTTAGGAAAACATCTGTGGCTGGAAGTGAATTCCTCTAAAGAACATGAGTTTTTCTCTATGTAGCTTAATCTATGCACTGACTTTTGCCTAACACTTGCAGGGACTAAGTCCAGAAATGACAAACACATTGTCTGTAAGGCCCTGGTTTTGTACAACAGGTACACTCTTGTGTCACCTATCTGAAAGCTATCAGGACTAAGATAATAATCTTCAGATCACAAGAACATGGCTGCTTTTGAAAGGACTAGCTAGTGTTTGCACTTTGCTCACTGCTATGTGTGTGTGTGTGTGTGTGTGTGTGTGTGTGTGTGTACTCACACACACAACCTTACACCCTTTTCAATATCCAGCCTTCTGCCCTGGTTTGCTTGTCTTTGTGATACATTGTACACTTGCCATGCAATGTGTAGATTAGCTAAATATACATCTTTCCCACGGACAAGCTAGTCTCTGTTTCGTGCTTTTTTTTTTCTCAGTACACAGTATGCCCTCAACAAATATCCAAATGGATAAGAAATGAGAATAGCCTTGGGGGGGTGTTAGGAGAGACAGAGAGGTAGTGAAGAGCATGGCTGGTTGCCTTCTATCTTCTCTACTGCCTTCAAGTTAAGGGTCAGACTGCAATGAATTGTTTAGATCTGGCTCAAACGTTGACAGTGACACTAGTGTGTAGCTTGTTTTGTCACTGTTTTAATCGAAGGCTCATCTCTCAAATGGGGCCAGCGACATCTGTATGCTGAGTTTGCTGTTAAATTTAATGAAATATCACACCAGGATGCTATGTATGGTGCCTGTGGTAGATGGAATACTCAGTCATAATTGTTAGGGATCCCTAAGATAATGTCTCTCAACCTTTTCCATTGAGTTATAGACCCTCAGGAGAATCTATTCCTAGACCACTGCATTGCAATTTTGAATCTAATCTCAATTCTGTAAGACTCAAGGGAATGATTTCTTGGAATCATCTGCCTGCTGCCTGCCCCTGCCCAGGCAGTGAGCCAAGCCCGCTGGCAACCTCACCGTAGCACAAGCCAAACATCGGCTAGTGTCTGAATGGGACACGGCCCTTCTCCCAGGCTGTTCCTGGCTGGGGCTTCCCTTCTGCTCTCCTATAGTGCCATAGCCACAGCCACAGCCTCAAACATCCCGAGGGAGCTGGTCCTCCCACCCTGTGCTGCTGGCCTTCTCTAAGAACACAGTTGAGTGTTTGGGAATGGGAGAATGCTCGGCTAGTATGCAGGAAACCCTAGGTTCGGTTTGAAGTACCAATAAAAACTAGGGATGGTAGCACACGCCCACAATCTGGGCACTTAGAAGGTGGAGGCAGGAGGATCAAGGAGTTCTGAGTCATCTCTGTTGCATGATGAGTTCAAGGCCAACTTGGACTACATGATGGCCTGTCTCAAGAAGTCAGATAAAACGAAGCTCTTGGACAAGAACAGGCAGATCCCCAGCCTCATTTACTAGTCTGAGTCCCTTAAGTTGAGGTCACTTACATAAGACTTCAACCTAGTCACAAGAAGTTATGGTAGTTTATGGTCCTGGAAGCTCAGCAAACATACTACCCTTCCCGTGGCATACAGCCAGAGCGATGTGACAGCACCCACTTAAGACTGTTGTCACTACCACCACGACTGGTCTTTCCTGAGGGTGGGGATGGGTATACTAGGACCAGAGGAAGCATGAGTGGGGCAGGGTATAATAGTCCTTCAGTGTCTTCATAGGTTCCTTTTCTTGCTTCAGGATGTCCTAAGGAAGCTGCAGAATCGCCTTTCAGGAAGTACAGGGCTGAAGCCGTGCTGCTCTGCTCTCTGGTCATTTTCTACCTGACCCTCATCATTTTCACTTGTGTAAGTTTCTGTTCAAAACATCTGTTGCTGTGACATGGTCCCCAGGGCCCCGCTGAGGCCTGTAGGTTTTGTAGACACCATGGGTAATTAAAAACTTACTCTCTGAAGGTAAGGCAGTTTGAGGCCTCCACACTGGGAAGTGCACTGGGATTCCTCCAGCTTGCTTTTGGTTTAGTGAGTCACTTGGAACATTGTGTAAAGCCTGTGAGGCAATGCAGGTAACCCAGGTGGGGTTGTGTAGGAAAGTGTGAAGAATCCCATGAAGACCTGAAGGACTTGTGGTCACGATGTGGTCAGCGTCCACCACCTCAGGGTAGAGGCCTTACTTTTGCAATGCTGTGGCATCCCCTTTGATCGCACTGTCCTGAGCCTGTTTTCTCTTAGTGGATCAACTTACAGTTTTGCATTTCTCATCCTTTTTAAGATTTAATCCTCAGAGGGTCAATGCTAGGGTACCCGCAAGGTCCTCAGGAAGGGAGGGCGACTGGAAGTACTTGGGCACTCTTGACATGCCCTTTAGCATATTGGTCATAGGCTCTGGATGGAAGCCCTTAAGCCCATTTTGCCTGGCTATTCACCTGGACTGACCGTGGCCCTCAGGGAACAGGGCCATTTGAGATTCTGACCAATTGGGAAACAATCATCCCCATATGTCTCCAGGCCACCAGAAGGGCTGGCTACATGGGCACCAGAATAAACTCATCCTGGAGCCATCCCAAGGCTGGCTCTTGTCTCCTACTGTGTCCTTGTATTCAATTTTCCATCCCTCTTACTGTGTAAATCATGTTTCTGATTTCCATCTTAAAAATCAATCAACAAACACCACATCCCATCCCGTAACTATATAAAATTATTATATGTGAATAAAAATTCAAGTCACCAGTTTATTTAAAAAAAACAGAACAAAATGAAATACTGGTGTTTCATAATCAGGCAAAGGTGGGAAAGTGTATTTTTGCAATACTCATGACTTTGAAATGAATTTTTGAGTAACATACTAAGATTTTTCTGAATGGTATCAATTTCTTAAAGAATGATTACATCAATTAATCTGAAAAGGCTTCTTAAGGCAAATGTATTTTCAGTGGTACTATTCATTAAATTTAGAGTCTTTCATAAATCTGTTCCAGATAAAATAGGAACTTTATTTGAAATGATTTTTAAATAAAAAGCAAATATATACAAATAAAACAAAAGAATTCCATGAGAATCTCCTGCGTACAGTCCCAACCACTGCATGGGACTGAAATGGGTGCTATGTCCCTGGCCTCCTAGAGCTCACAGTTTGGTCAGCAGGGTTGTTTGTTCAGAAGAAGGAAACTAGGATGGTCAATACATTTAAGATGGTTGCCTTTGGTTTCTTGTTGGCAGCTATCAGCTTCTACAGGTACTGGCTTTCCACATTGTGTGACAGTAGGGGCTAGAGAGCATGGCAGTTGGGAGTCAGTGAGTCTCCTGATAAGATTTGCAAATATCAGGGAGGTGGTACTTACAGCTTGTAAATAATGAGGGGTGGTGAGTATAACAAGTGCTTCCAAAATGAGGTGTCCAGACAGCTCTTGGGGGATAGTATGACAGTCGCCAAGTTTTCCCAATAATTCATACTTCAAATCTTTTCATTTTGCTTTTTACAGAAGTTTGCACGACTACAGAGTATTTTTCCAGATATTTCTAAACCTGGTACGGAACAAGCTTTTCTTCCAGTCACCTCCCCAAGCAAGCATTCAGGGCTAGTGACCCTTCCCAAGACAGAAACAGTATGAGTAGGATCACTGCTGGGTTTTACCAAGCCAAGGGCACATCAGATCAGTGTGCCTGAATGCTGCCTGGACAAGAGAAGAACGAGCGCCACCCTCAGATGGCAACCTTCCTTTGAAGTCCTTCACCTGACAGTGGGTTCCACACTACTCCCTGCCATGGGGTCTTGAACACCATCACATGATCATGAAGCATGGGGCCATCACTGCTTCTCTATGGCTGTCAGCTTAGCGTTTCATATGGCTATCTGGTCAACCTCTTGAATGCTTTTCAGTCATGTAAAAGCTATGGTGAGATGCAGGTAGAGCAGGGTCATGAGAAATTTGAACACTCTGAGCTGGCCCTGTGATAGACTCCCGAGGACAGCTGTCCTCTTCTCCATCTGGGATATATCTCTTTGAATTTGTCCTGTTTTGTTGCAACAGTTCAGATGTCTCACATCTGGCAGAAATTGACAGGCCAAGCTGTGAGCCAGTGGGAAATATTTAGCAAATAATTTCCCAGTGCGAAGGTCCTGCTATTAGTAAGGAGTATTGTGTGTACAGAAATGAGAGGTCAATGAACTGTTTCTCAGCAAGACCTTTTCATCTGGAAAAGACATCCATAAAGCGGCAATACAGAGGGATGCCACGTTTATTTTTTTAATCTACATGTACTTGTCAAAGAAGAATTTCATGTTTTTCAAAGAAGAATGTTTGTTTTCTTCTCTTTAAAAAAAATGGTTGTCTAGTTAGATAGCATTGCTAGCTGACAAGCAGCCTGAGCGAATATGAAGAGTGTCCCTCAGAATAGGGACAACAAGCTAGAAGCACTGTACAATGTCCTGCTGGGAAGGGCGGACTGAAGATTTGAAGTCTGGCCACAATTGTCCAAGTCTGTCTGCAGGATCCAGGATGAGTCGCTTGTGGTTTTCACTTTCTGGATTGTAAACCAGATAGTTTTTATCTGGGTTGAGTAAAATGGGTGTGAAAACACTTTGGGAAAGCTGAAGGTACTGTACACAGTGGCAACCCCACTGGGTTGTTTATTTTGTTGATATCCTAGCGTTCTGGAGCTGAGCGAATGCCTATCATGTCTCACCATTCCAATCCATCCAAACAAAGAAGGAGATAAAGCAATGTTACTATAAAGAGGATGGTACCATGTCTGCTGTGGCATGTGCAGATTGGCTCTTGTGTCTTGTTCTTGAAGGACCAGTCACAAGTTCTTGAAGATACAGACCTACAGGAGCCACCGAGCCACGGCGGGAGGGAGTTGTCAGATGTTGCATTTCTATAATGAACTTGGCCCCTTCCTCATTTGCTTCCCAAAGATATTTTGTCCCTTCAATGGTGTGTGCATCACCCACACTGACATGAGAATAAAAGCAATGTTCAGCTGACCCAGTGTATACCTCTTACCATTTTCATGCTATTAAAGGTGTGCATGTGAAGAGCAGTGTTCGTCTCTTCTATCTTTAAAATGATTCAGACTTTGGGATGGATGCTTGAATGCTGACTGGGGAATAAGAATGCAGGAATGGTCGTGGTAAAGGACTGGCCGATTTCCTGAGTCTGGGGTAGAGGTGGAGGGCAGGGACATACAGCTGGCAGACCTCTGTGACATGGCATTCCTTCTTCCAAAGTTTACCAGATCCATCCTGGAGCTGCATCCCTACCAGCTAGTAGATGGTCAGCTTGGCCACTTATGTGACCACAGGGGGAGAATCAAAAGAGAGGCTCTGCTTCTAAATGTGTGAAGCCAGAGGCACTGATCTTAGGATTTGTGGGATTTTATTCAAGGTTTTCAAATAGACACCTAAACCCTAAACTGTCAGGAAAGAACTATACAAAGTGCTTGTGGTGGCTGTAAAAGCATGGTGGACAAGAGGCTTTGTGGCGATGAATGCATGGGAAGTGTCCTTCAAAGCTGAAGAATCACTTTGAATGGATTCAAGTCCATTGTCCAATGCTTTACAAATGCACCAGAAAACCTAGTGTCACGTCGAGGAACTCAGACCTCTCATCTGAAGTTTGCCACCTCAGCCAGGATTCAGAGTAAGAGCAGTGATTTGTTCGCTAGATATGTTTGGAAGATTAGTGGAGGAAGTCCACAGAAGGGCTAGGTGTCTAGCAGTGTTCAGATAGGAGAACAAGAAAGGAGGAAAGGGGAGTAGAAGAAATGCTAGTGCCCACAAATTTTTGACCAGCTTGTTTTATTAAAAGGAATAAATTGGCTTGTTGGGTGCTGCATGTTGCCTTCCAAGGATTAATACACAGTGAAATAAACACTCCATGGGCATGAGAGCTATTGCGTGAGACCAGGGAGGAGGGTTCCCCTGTTGCTTTAGTTATACTTAACTGGAAACATGATTAAAGTTTAATAGCAGTTTGACCTCATGTTTCATACCTAATATTTAGTGTTAAAAATGTGTGTGTGTAAGAGACAGACACACACACAGACACACACACACACACACACACACACACACACAGAGTCACAGAGAGACAGAGTCAGAGTCAGAGATAGAGAGAGACAGACACCCAGAGATAAAGACAGAGGGAGAGGCGTGGGGAAAGAGGGAGGGAGGTGGAGAGGGAAGAGAGTGAAGGGGCAATAAAGTAGAAAGGGAGAGAGGGAGAGAAAATGAGAGGGAGATGAGGAATGAGAGAAGAAAAGGGAGAGAAAGAGGAAAAGGGAGAGGGGGCCGGAGGAGAGAGAAGACAGAGATGGCAAAAAGAAGGGAACAAGAAAGAGGAGGGGGAGAGGGAAAGGGGGCCAGGAGAAGCAGGGGGAGGAGGAGGGGGAGGGAGAAAGGGGAAGGAGAGAGGGAGAGAAAGAAAGAGAGGAGAATGGAGAACTTACTGGCTTTTTGCTGCGTCAGTTGAACCCTACCCACTATTTCAAAGGAGCCTGGACTGCATTTACTTTGTCTTCACCACTGGGGAGAGCTTTGCTCTCACACTTTCCTTTGTCATGGAATTAGATCTACAGTTGTACAGTTGCTTTTGCCCTGGAATGTCCCAGGACATGAATACAAACACATCAGCTGCATGCTCTAAAAGATAATAGCCAGGGTTGTGGCCCCTCAGACACAGGCAGCAGAGTGAGGCCATGTTTATGCCACAGCACAGTCCACAGTCACAGAACCCTGAGCTGTCCTTTCATTGGTAGCTTTGTTTGGTGGCATTGATTGGGCAATTAATAATACTTTGTATGTCCTTGTAAAAATGGCACACAAGGAGGAGTTGGAGAAGTTACTTGGTGGCTGATACCCAAGTTCTACTCCCAGACTCCACTCCAGTTCCAGGGCACTTCATGCATGTGGTGTGCACACGTACAGGAAGGCAAACCCATGACATAAAAATAAATTTTAGAGAAAATATTACAGGGTGCCAGAACAGGAGCTGTGTGCCTCATTTCACTTTCCCTGCTAGTGTTGTATTTGCAGAGCCAGTCTTGATTCTGATTGGTTGGTGAGATGCAGCTGTCAGTTCTTTGTCCAGAGTCTGTAACTGATGTTTATTGTCCCCATTCTAGATTTGCTTGGTTTTGAATTTTCACATTTGAACTATATAAGAAATTAAAAGTCTAGTTTTGCCTTTCTGTGCTGGTGTTCGTGTGTGTTTGAGTGTGTGTGTATGCGTGTGTCTGTGTGTGTATATGTGTGTCTGTGTGTGTGTGCATGTATACATATGTGTCTGTGTGTAAGTATGTGTGTGTCTGTGCATGAGTATGTATACGTGTGTGCATGTGGGCAGGTTTGTGCATGTGAGTGTACATATGTGCACGTGTGTGGGCGCGCCTGTGTGTGTGTGCGTGCGTGTGTGTGCGTGCGTGCGTGTGTGTGTGTGTGTGTGTGTGTGTGTGTGTGTGTGTGTGTGTGTGTGTGTGTGTGTTGTGTGTGTGTGTGTGTGTGTAATGACAGTAAAGTTAAACATAAGTATATTGACTGAGTGTTAGCCCTAGACAGACACTTTTAAAGACTTAAAGAAGCCAGACTCAATCCTTTCTTTGAAAGAGCATCCATGCTGGTGGAAGGAGACACGAGCACGGTGCAGTACACTTAGTTGGTTTACTCAGCATTGTGGAGAAATACGAACATTAGCAGGGAAGCGTGAAACTCTCCGAGTTCTTCTGGGAAAGCCCTGGGAAGGTGTACTAGTTACTTTTCTTACTGCTGTGACCCAGCAGAAGCAGCTTAGAGAAGAAGGATTCATTTAGGCTCTCACTAAGAGGAGACACAGGCCATCGTGGGGTGGTGGGGAAGGGAGCAACGTGGCAGGGGCTGCTTGCTCAATCTGGGTGGATATGGAAATAGAGGATGCTGGCTTTCCTGTCCCTTTTTCTGTTCAGAGGAGAAGCCCAGCCCATGGGATGGTTCAGCCTTCCTCCAGGGAGGGTCTTCCTTCTCCTCAGACTTCCTTAGCAAAGCCACAGTGGGAAAAAAGAACATTTCTAAGTTATTGCAAATCTAGTCCCGGGAGCAGTGATCGACCATCGCAGAAGGCCATGCAGACTAACTCCATTTAAACTCAGACTTCAAAGCTAAGCAGGATTTCAAATAATGGTGGGAAAGGACAGGGGGAACAGAAATGAACCTGTCTTTAAGAAAGTAAGCTTGGGCTGTGGGTGGCTTGAGAAATATGGAGGCAAAGGACCCTCTCATTCCAGATGGAGTGTGGAGAAAGCAGAGGTGACAAACACATTACCTCAGATGGTTAGAGCTATGGCACAGTATTGAAGGATCCAGAGTTGTGGGCTCATGTTGTCATATCATTTGGGGACAATAGCCAGGAAAACAAGGTGAAGGAGGAAACAACGGAGCTGGAGATGTATGGCATCCAAACCACCTGGCAGGCTGGAAGCCCAGAGCAGCACAGCTGTATTAGAAGAGACAGGAAAGATGGAGACCCATTTTTTAAAAAATTATGTATTCATTGTGTATATATGTTTCGCGCACATGCCTTGGCATGCATGTGGAGATTGGAGGTCAGAGATCAGTTGCAGGAGTTAGTTCTTGCTG